AAAAAAGCACAAGTGAAATAAAACAACGTTGTCAGAGCATTCCAATCTAACAAAATAATATTCCAATCCGACATTAACACTCAGCATTCAAACTCGGTAATGCACTGCTCTAATGAAAATTTGACAAATAGCGATATCACTTCGAATGAAAGCTATGATCAAAATTGTAAAAATGAAACCTGATTCGCATTGATATCTGTATTGATAGCATTTCGACGTTTTCTCCTTTCCCGGACGTATCGATCTCGTATTCGTTTCCACTGTATTTGCAACGAATGCGCATCCTCTTAAATGCACATTACTCTAATACAACCACGAAACAATCAAAACTCTGATAACTTACAATTTAAGAACTCTCAATAATACCATGATATTCCATTTCACGGTTTGTTCAGCTCTATGAATTATGGCTGAGGTTGGCGTAACACGTCGAAACGTTTAAAAATGATGAATAATCAAAGCCCTCATATCTGTATTCGTGATCGGTAGAGTGATCTAATCATTATACATCTGTCAATTCACAACGCTCGCAACTGTTGGAATTACAATTCATATTACCAAAAACTTCATGCGACTCAAATATTATGCAATTATAACTAAAATTTACCACTGATTATTGACTGCCTGATATATACACACCATTAGATAATTATACTGTTGGCACACAAAACAGTGATAAGAACGACACAAAACAAACCCGTGTAGCCGAGATCATGACAAAGCTTTTGCCAAATACGAGATTTATACTGTACGGAGGAGTGTTTGTTGCCGTAGTGTTCATGATTCGGATTGTATAAACATGGCTGCTCTTTGACGGCTTCGATCAGACGTTTGACGAAACTATCGTCTTTGGGTGACAGTGAAACTGATAATGATGAAGATTGCGATGCACCGGACGAATTTGACGATGATGGATTTGTTGCCACTTGAGATATACTCGACGAACTGCCAGCCATCGTGCTTGACCTCGACTTTAATCTCGAACTTGACCTGGTCACCACTTGTTCACTCTTCAGTTCTACGACTGACGGTATTGTTGCGGTGAGTGGGCTTGAATTGGACTTTGCTGATTTACAAACGCCTGCAAACACTTCATTCAACGCTTATCTTCACATTCACATCCAAACTGTAATGGTGTCGAGGTACATCACTTGGTTCCAGTGACGTTATGAACAAAAAATTCATATATAATTCGTCTATAGATGATCTTTATATTATAAAAATAATAAGAGGGCATTGCAAATGAATCACAAAAACTCATTGCTCTCAACATCTACCTGCCTCATCTGCGAAATCAGAGAATACAAAAAACGAATCCAATTCAAAATATAAATCTTCTTCACTTACGCTTATTGGGTATATCACTGGTGACGAAAAGATCCCGTTGGGATGCGACCGACTGCCGCTTCCTAACGGAGGAATTATTCGCCACTTCCAGATTGTCCGCTTTGGTTGACGTTTCACGGTTACCAACTCTGCAACTGAGAGATTCGCGATGCCTTTACAGTTACTACAATCAACAATGAAACACAAAAGGTAGACTTGTTGTGACTCATTTTAGCATTGAACCAGTGAACGAGGTGAATCTTTGGGCAATAATTAACTTCGATCAGCTAACGAAATAAAAAAAAAACAACTATTACAAGGAAAAACTGATTCAACATACTCCGTGAAACAGTGATCAATTGTGTTATTAAAACCGTCAAATTCTTCGCTTATTTTATTTCTTATCCACCGATAACTGAAGACATGGCATTGAATTATCGATTAGGAATGATAACATTTGGGCACATGAATGCGGTCTTTTTCAGTGACAAGTGTTTTTGGCAATCAAAAAGTTCACGAACTGACAACACCGAGCTTTATATGTCGAATATCTCGAAGCACCATCAACTCTCCCTCGATACACACACTCGATGTTTACCGTCACACGGCAACTAGCACTTCTAATCAAACAACCAAATAATAAACACAATCCAAANAGTGCCACACCGCATTCCGCAATTCACTGCAGCACTCCGCAATATCAATTTGAAAATTCCCTCGTTACCGCGACGCGATACGCAACCCTACCGCAGCGCTAACGCAACGCAACATGCACGCCAACACCATTAGTGGTTGCGTCCGTCGCGTAACACGAGCGCAATGCGATACGCTACGCCAGCAGCACTAGTCATCGAGCGCGTGCGCTATATCGCGTGCTGCAGCGCAACACGCTACGCCTAGCACATTTGTCTGTTCAGGATGCATACTTTGATTCGGTAAACGAATTAAAGCGCAAAAGCCGTCGTAAAAATTCAGTAATTGTAACGGAGAAGTGGATTAATTAGTCAGTTATAATGAAGAAATTAATAGTGGAGATGAATTAATGCATTGTATAATGCAGTAGTAGTGCATTACCCTTGACTCGATGGAGACTAGAAGTGAGGATGTTTCTGGCAGAAGTGACGATATCATTGGAATGAAACAATTGATGTGTTCACGATAAGTCGTGCTTTTTTGAGAGCTGGAAGGGGTGTGGAATAAATGAGTGAATGAAACAACAACATTATGTGAATAGGACCTTTTTTCAAAAAAAATTTTTTTTTAGGTATCGATAATAATTTTTAAGTATGAAATTTTAGGTACAAATTTTCAAATTTTTAGTGACAATTTTTTTTCAAATTTCCAAATTTTTTAGCTCCACCGTCTTAAGAAGATGTCTTTCGGTGTGGAAAAAACTTACGTGAAGTTTCGCTTAAAGAATTGAGTGGTGATGTTTTTTCGATTAAGGAAAAGGCGCCCAACAAGCACGCAGCGCAACCCAATTTTTGTCCAATGATCGCTCACAAAGCTTATGTTCCAGAAACAAAAATATCACTTTTGATGGTGAGAAGAGTTGTAAAAACAATTCGGGGTTCNATTTGGAGAGGATGTTTCTGGAGCAAAGTGCATTTTTTCGAGTGGAAAGGGCTTGAGTTTTTGAAATTCTGTTTCTTTCGCCACAAATGTAATTGTCATCCTAATGAATATTCGTGTGCATATAATAATCACTACCAAATGTAAATTCTGGACGCAATAACCAATGAATAAAAGAACAGTCGATTGAATTTGACTGCCAACACCATGTTGAGCCACATACGCAAATCAAGCACTTTGCATAGTGAACTAGAAAGGGCGCAATGAACATTCCCAAGTGTGCTCATTTAATTGGATAGCGTTGAGGTGAGTGGTTGGTTGGGTTGCAAAAATGGCTGCCGGGGAGGACGAGGAAGAAGTGGCTCGGGACAATTCAGCTGCTGATGATGGCATGGATGACCCGAAACTGCAAACGATGACACCGAAAGAGTTCATCGATACGATCGCGAAAGAGGGCGAGCAGGTATCGGATATCAGCGAGATATCAAATTCAGTTAGGTTTAACTGAGATGCTCATAAAAAGTTTGTCACTAAGCTCATCGAACTCATTGATGCGCTTTCAATGCAATTATTTTTTCTTCAAGCCTGGTTAAGGGTTCACATTGCCTTATTCAGTAAGTACTACGAAGAGGACTCACTGACAAGTTGCCTCGAAATTCTTTTTTTTTNNTTTTTTTTTTCGAATTTTCTGAAAACATCAATAAAATAGCGGTAGTATTCAATGAGTGCATTCGCCAAATGCTTATGGACATACTTTCAGCTGATTATTAAATGGCATAAAATGATAATAAAGAATCCACCAAAGGTTGACGCATTCTTAGACCCGGCGAATACAGCAAAGAATCGTTTTCCAAACATTTTATTGTATGATCGATCAAGAGTGAAGTTGAAAGATAACCTTGGAGGAGATTATTATCACGCATCTTTTGTTGATTCTTACGATAAAATCGGTTTGTTTCATTCAAGTACTGATCGCATGACATGCTTATGCTATATTCTCGCAGCATTCAGTTTCGGACATCCTTGAATGCCCCCCGCTAACCTCCACTCTCTGCTCTACCATCTTTCAAACTGCACTCTTCCATAACGAATAAACGATGCATCAAGCGCACGTTGTACTTACACTTAATTAGCTGCTTCAACATTTTCACATCCAGAATCATTGACGAAACATTAGTCATTGGCTATGATTCCTTCCTCGAACAAAAATCACACCTTCGATATGCTCGCGTTTAAAGCAAGATATCAAGATGTATGACTGAATCGAACTTGGTTACAGAATCGAATGAATTCATTCATTCATATATAAAGTCAAAGTTTGGAAACTTCAAATAAAAATCTATTTTTTTTATTTATTTTGAAAGCGCAAAATTACTGAATTTGTTTTTGTGAAGCAATCAGTGAGACAGAATCTGAAACGATATTGTTAAGATGGTTATATTCTGGCACAAGCTCCGTTCGACGATGACACGGAATCGGATTTTTGGAGGATGATTTATCAAGAGAGGCCAAAATTGATCGTCATTCTATCAACACTGGACGCTCCAGATGGCCGTAAACTGATGCGCAGTTTTTGGCCTCGTGCAGTAAGGGAGGAACGACCTTCGGCAAACGGCTATCTTATGGTGAGAAACAATTCAATTGATGAGGTATGCATTATGCGTGTCACATGAACGTTTGTTATCAGAATGCTTGATCGTTATTCATTGTTACATTGCAGGTGTAGTTGAGAACTGAGAGATTTCGGTGGCCACCGAGAAGATTTGCCCTATCGGTGACTACTGAAATTCCATAACCACGAATTATTCGGTCTTGATTTGCAGCCACCAGAATTCATGGATTGATCAGTCCCTGCCGGTTTTGATCGGTACTCACTGAAGATCGGTCTTTGGCGGCCATTGACAGAAATTTCTAGGCCATCGATTTGCGTTGGAAACCATCGCAGTGGCAAGCATGCAAAAAGGGCAAAATCTGCTATTCGTTCGGTAGCCACCAACCGTCAGACCACTTGGCCCTGGTCACTATGCAGAATCTTCCCGACCCTCAAATCACCTAGTGATCACTAAAACCTCGGAAGTCATTAGTTTACGTATCCATCGACCGATGAGATTTCCAAGTTTCAATCGGTGTCCACCAACAGAAATGCTTAGGCCACATACCCAACTCTAATTGCCCTATGGTTTTTCCGCATATTGTTATGAATAAAGTTTAAAATAAAGTTTGACAGCTTACGATCTACTAGGAGGAGAATAGCGATGCCTACAATATCTTGGTTATGGGACCTTTCCAACGAGGTAAATCCGGTCATCGAGCAACGCTTATACACTACAAAAAATGGATCGAAGATAAAGTTATCCCTGATAGTCTACTCGAATTCAGGGCAACGGTATTGCGCGAATATCTTTCTTCTTTACAACTTTATATTAACTGAACTTTATTCTTCACTTTTTGCCCTATTGTTTATCAGCAAAACGATAATGTGTGTTACCTCAGCGCATATTGTATTTGATACATAGCGTTTTTCATATTCATTAATGAACGAATTGCGGTTTGGTGGCTCGTAAGGATAGACAAATGGCGGCGAACCAGCCGTATGTTTAAATTCAGGTGAAGCTGGAGGCAACAAGAGCAATGAAAGATGGTCGTGAGGGTGCCATTTGTTTGGTGTGTCCATCCGGTGTGCATCGATGTGGCACGTTCGCTGTGCTTGATATCATCCTGGATCGTTTGGCAAACGAACGAAAGGTTTATTCAATTGATGATGATGATGACATTTTTGTGGTGATGCACAGATACGCTACTGAACAAAAGCAGCTTGCCAATAACCAAAAATAATTTTGTTTCGTAAAAAATAGTTCGCCAGTGGCGCTGCTGAGTAAGAAGTAGCGAGAACTAATCGCTATGAGTACCGCTTATCGGAGAAAAGATAGTGCAGTTTTCCGCCAAAACACTACTCATATCAGCAAAATTAATCGCTTGATTGCTACATTCAAAACAAATCCAAGGAACTAAGTATTCAAATTCAAATTCATATTTCATATAATGATGCCAATGATCATGCCGCAAGGGCATATTGCATATTATATGCTAAGGCATCAACCCGGGTCTAAGCTAATAACAGTACACTTGCATGTGAATATGAAATTCTTGATTCTCAAACACTAGCTCCTTTCTGATCAATAATGAACATATTGGTTTGAAAAAATATGTTTAAGCATGTCCCGCATCGATATTTCAATAATTGTTTGATCCCGAGATTAAAAAATCGTCGGGATTTTGCAAACCCTCCGCACAACACATTTCACTACATCTGAATGATTTGGGAATGAATAATGCGTGATTTGAGATGAATTTATTGCCAGAATCGTACGAAATGACTTTCTTCATCAAATCCCGAGATCCTGGGATTTTTCAAAAATTAAATCCCAGCATCGGGATCAGAACTCAAATCTAGGGATCCCGTGCAAACCCTAGAGACGATCCCTTATGCCAGATAATGAGTGAGGCAAGGTACTGTCCCTGTGAATGTGTTTGTTCAAGAATTATTGCCCGGCATTGTCTCACGCCGGTATGAGCATCAACATATAAGACTCGTACGAGTGTAGCAGTAATGCGGGTGTCTTTCTCATCCCTCGTACCCCTAAGCGCACGTCTAAGTCTAAACACAAGTCTGATCCTGAGCGTGGCCCAAACCTGAAACTGTATTGCAGTTCGATGCGAGCGAATCAGGATGAAATAAATCGTCCTGTACTGTTGCGCCCGCATGAATCTTACAAATCACCGGCAGAGGCTCCCATTTCGTCCCTGGATCAGAATATTCAATATCCTTGCTAAACGAAATCATACAATGTTTCGCATTGTTGGGGAGTCTCCGCGGGGAGCCTGTCCTCGTCATGGAGCGGAATGGACGAGAAATGATTCACATAGAAATTTTGTGGAGACAATTAACTAGGGAAGGGGAGGGATTTTTCCAGGGCCACTCTGACTAGAAAGTCAGGGAACAAAATGATCAGGGAATTGTCCTCATCGGGGATCCCGTTTCNCAGTATATTCATCTTATTATTATTTGCCTTACACATCACTGCACACAGTATCATTCGGATAATTTATTTAGTCAGGATTGTGTTCAGGAGTCTGATAAGGTGTTCAGGCGTCTGTCTCTCTTATACTTCTCTAAAACTCTTCTTTCCACATAGCTAACGGTATCAGCATAGGGAATCATTTGTCTTCATGAAAGTCCAATTTCGAGCAGTGATTTGGCGAGCATAGAGGTGTAGGGCTACTTTCCCGTATTACCCAATGATTGGGCGCTTGAAGAGGCACTCAAAATGAGCCCGAAAATAAAATCCCATTGACTGAGAGAACATACATGTAATGATTGCTCAGAGTAGCTGTTTGAAACAATCATTGAAACATTTGAAACATTATCAAGTCAGTAATCGTTCGGGATCAATAAAGAACAATTAATCAACCGAATGAACCCATCGCGATCGGCATATTAAACATTCCGCAACCGAACATTAATAAATGTCTGTTGCTATAAACACTTTACGTAATTAAGTAGCAATCCAATAACAACGATAAACATTTCGCCGATCGCCCTCAGCGATCAGCGCAACAGCCGTTCAGTGTTCAAATAACAACTAAACATCCGAATAAATATCACTTACATCCGTCTCTAGGGACAACAAAACTTCATTGCGCTGTCTCGAATATTATTCAAGGTCCCATGGCTTAGTGAGCTCACACGGAATGCTTTATTTTGCAACACAATCAATTGTGCTCTGCATCTCACTCCTCGCTGGAGAAGAATTCACCGCAGCTGAATGCTTCTGTTCACTTTCTGAGCAGCAGCACTAATTATCAGACAAGCAAAATTCCTTATCAGAACAATTTCAGGTAGGACTTCTTGAAACGGTGACAATTGTAAGGAAGCAACGTTACGGGTGCTTAACTCATTTCGCACATTACAATCATATAGCTGATTTGGTGACACGCCAAGCGATTTCATCCGGAGTGGTTGATGCGTCATGTATCGGAACTAGAAAGAAATAATTTCAGCGAAACTTTCGAAAGTCAAAACTATTAGTTTGATCGCAGATGAATTTATGCATTCAATTTGGTTGATTCTAATTTGTAACACTTTTTTATTCGCTTCGTGTCTTATCAACTTCCATGTGCTGTAATAAATGATAACCGCGGAAAAGCTGGGAGATAAGTGTCCGATTGTGAGACGAGTCATCTTTCCGAATTGCCGTGAACTGCCGAAAAAATTGCATTAGGAAAAGAAATCAAATTTTAATGGATCCTAACGATAAGAGCATTAGCGTCTTAAATTGATAAGTTATATTCAAGAAAGAAATAGAATATATTGGTAAATTTACTCATTGAAGCGAATTATGCATTGACCGGTTCATTCGATCAATTTGAAAACGTTAATGAATGTGTAGTCATTGACATTCACATTTAGATGTTCCCGTAGTGTTGTATATTTGAAAAATGTCGCATCGATCTGTGATTAAGCCTATAAAAGCCAATTAGTGGTATTATAATATAAGTGTAATACTGCTTGTTATCAACACGCGACATTGAATCATTATTGCTGTAATTGTTCACATAATTAAAACTTCTTTTGTATGATAAATTGATTTTCTCTGTTCATGACAATATTTGTTCTTACGGACAAGGTTTATTTACACTAATCTTATCCTGATCAACAACTGATCAACCAAAATCACTTATCTTTGCTTCATCATTCTTACCGATTAAACAGTTTCGTGCAGCAATATCGCAATGAATCACCTTCAACAAATACAGCATGCTAATAAACTTAAGAA